ACATGTTTCTCTCTTCTGCACATAAAAAAATAAAAAATTTAAAAAAATAAATAAAGGGCATGATGCTCTTTTAAGTGAATTAAATTCTTTTTGTGATCTTATTACATTTTTCTAAATTTTTCGATTCCTAAATTTTTCTATTCCTCTTTATTTAAAATACACAAGCAATTTTTTAAACATGAGTGAACCATGAGCGCTAAGTTCGGTAATGTCGCAAAAGATTGGTAATTTGAAGGATTTCAAATCTAGGCAAATGGGTTTATTTCAGAGAAGGTTTCGTGATTTTTCCCTCATGTGAACGTAATACGAATTCTTTCCCTTTAAACGTACTTTACGAGACACGACTCTTTTAGTCATATAATCCTCAAGCGCTGTGAACAATTCTAATTTAAATTTTTATGATATAAAATTTCATATAAATCTATTCTAGTTGCCGCTTTTGTGTACATTATATTTATGAATACAAACCTGCAATTAATATTGAGAATACTATTGATGCAATTAATGTTATGATTAATACTGAAAATAATGTTTAAGCTAAAAATCAATTTGAACCCTTTTTTATAATAAGATAACATGCGCCAAAAATTCCCCGGCAAAGATTTTGGATTATGGTAAAGCACACAGGGGTTACTTGCCTAAAAGAAGAGATTTTTTGAGAGAAACAAGCTGGTAATTAACAATACACTTGTGAAAAACCTCGAAACCTCCCATGCAGCCGCTAGGATTTAACATGCTCAACTATCGTTACTCTCGACCGTTACTGGCTTTCTCAGCTTACGAAATGTGTAATTTAAGTTGGTTATTTACATAACAGAAGAAGAAATAAAATGACAGATAGATATTAAATAGTGCATTTTACTGACAAAACGTTCTTTTGTTTGGGTTAAAATTCCCTTTCAGAATAGAATAGTGTATATAAAAACAGTGAAATGCAAATTTTAAATTGATATTATCACCGTTTCTGCCCTTAAATAACTCCTAAATGTTTTGTTTATTGCTCTTAAAAACAGATCAGGTGTTTAAAAGTTAATACCGCAATGTTTGTATTAAAAAATCTCGAAATTATTGCTTAAGAAAAAGCGGAAACTAAGGCATTATTATTATTTATTTATACCAAGGGCATTTTTAATTTCTTTGAGATCGAGAAGATATTTAAAAAAATGTTTACGCTATATCCTGAAATCACCTAATTTGTTTGTTTTCATAAATCAGATGAAAAATAAGTCACATTTGAAACCCATACTTTTTCAAAACAGCTATCCACGTATAATCATAAGAATCTTTTTTTCCGCTCGTGGAAATTAAAATATTCAGTTACGAAATTTTATTTCGCTGAATATTTAACTTTACTTAAAAGAGCATATTTGTATACATTTTTAAGTATATATTGTTCATTCAAAAAACGAAATCTTTCCAGAAAATAACATCCGTTTTAAAAACTAAGTAAATTTCTGCATTAAACATGCCTGAAAAGTTAAAATTTTGAAATCTCTTTAATATTTAACTAGAGTTTATTTAAAGAGCAAGTTTAAAAGTCACACTAAATTGACTAAATTTGGCAGAAATAATGAAACAGATGTACTTCAGAATAATTATACAAATATTATGCTAAATATCTATAAAATATCTATCTATAAATATCTATAAAATCTAATAAATATCTATAAATAAAAGAAATTATTTAAAAAAAATATTATCTGCATGTAAATGAAGAACATAGAAAGATGTTGAAAGATTTAAAGATTTTTAATTTATGACAAAAACATAGATCCTATTTTCTTAGGAAATTCAAAAGATTTTCCCCTTGAAAGGTTAAATTCCCTATGGAAAAGATTAGTTAAAGACCGCGAATATTTAAGTCTGTATCAGGAATTTTTAAAGGAGTATGAAGAGCTATGACTCTGGTTAAAGAGAAAAATGAGCCTGGGGTAGTGTAGTTTATGCCCCAACATGGGATGTATCGATCTGAAAAAACAACAACTAAATTGAGAACAGTGTTTAATGCATCATGTTTAAAATCACATGGAATTTTGCTAAATTCTTTACAACGTAATGGAGAGGTTGTTCAAGATGATCTATTTTCAATCATGCTTAGTTTCGAAAATACTCATTCGCATTTACGACAGAGATTAGAAGAATGTATAGAATGATTAAAATTAACCCTGAACAGAGATGCTTGCAACGAATCCTGTAGAAAAAAAAAAGTGATGTACCTGTGAAAATCTACGAGCTTAATACTATGACTTCCGGTATAGTTAGTGCTCATACTTAGCTATGAAAACTCTTAAGCAATTGTCGATTGATGAAGGTCCACAATTTCCATTAGCTGCGGCAATCTTAAAAATTTTTATATGGATGATGTGCTTAGTGGAGCGGAATCTTTGAGTACAGCTAAGGAGCTTAAATGTCAGTTAACTGCAATACTGAAGAATGCAGTAATAACACTGCACAAGTGGTGCAGTAATCATGTTGAACTTGCGGAAGAAGATCACACCTATCCCTTTCCTAATGAAGAAGAATCTACAACACTTGGAGTGTCCTGGAGGTTTAGAAGAGACTGTTTCTGTTTTAGAGTGAAACTCGATAATGACATAGTTGTTACCAATAGACAGATATTGTCTACAATGCATGATTGTTCGACCTCATTGGTTTACTAGGGATAATCATAAGTAAAGCCAAAATATTCCTCCAACGGTTGTTGTTGTTAAAGCTGAATTGGGATGAACCACTGCCAAAAGGGCAAGCTGATAAATGGAAGAAATTCTGTACTGAATTGGAAGTTATAAGTATAGTAGAAGTTGGAAGGTTTATCTTTATTTCAGAAGTAGACCATATGGAGCTTCATGGATTTGCAGATGCCTCTGATGTAGCGTACGGAACAGCCATATATTGTAAGTCCCGTTCGAGAGATGAAGAAGTGAAGGCAAGGCTAGTGACTAGTAAATGCAGAGTCTCGCCTATAAAACGAGTTACTATTCCGAGATTCCATGATCGTACTTTCGTGGATACATAAGGAGCCTTACCAACTGAAGACTTGTGTTGCAAATCGAGTGGCAACAATTCAAGAGTTGACTAATGATCATCAGTGTCGTCAAGTGTCATCAAAGGAGAAATACGAGTGATCTTATATCCCGATGTTTGGACCTAAGTAAACTTCTACAAAATGATATGTGGTGGAAAGACCCTCTGTTCCTGAGGAGCGACGAGTATCCATATAAAGAGTTTCTGGTGAAAGTCATCGTGAAGGACTTTCCAAACGAACTTAAAAACCTTAGTGACTCTAATATTTATCTTAATCTGAAAGTTAACCCTTTCATCGAGGATTTCTTAAATTTAAGTAATAGTTACTGTAAAAGCATGTGTGTTTTAAGTTTTATTTTTAAGTTTGTAAACAATTGCAAAGGGAAGGACAAAGTTTCCGATCCTATTCAGAGCGCTGGATTTAAAATTGATGAAATTAAATTTATTAAGATGATTCAGTATATTGAGTTTAAAAAAGAAATCTCAAGCCTTCAAGAGGAGGGTAAGGTACCGATAGTAAGGTAAGATATATTTTTCCATTTTTAGTACGGGTTGGAGGCAGATTAGCTAACTGTAAGTTGAATTTTGATAGAAAATTTCTAATAATCGTAACAAAGAATCATAAGTTGACTAATCTAATTATTGTGATGTTTCATAAGAAATATATGCATGTTGGCTCACCAGGCTGACTGTCTATTGTTAGACAAGGGTTTTGGCCATTGAACGGACGCAACATTTGCAGAAAATATAAAAAATATTTTAAAAAATAAAAATTGGAACTATGGTAATTTTAAAGACTGATAACGTTAATGTATGTAACTGGCCTCTTGGCAGAATTGCAGATATATTTTTAGGTAAAAACAATAAAGTTAAAGTAGTTTCAGTGAAAACGAAAAGCGGTATTTTAAAGGGCTCAATTTAAAGTTGTGTTTTACCGATGCCAAATGAAAACGAAAAAGTATGTTTCTAAATAATTATTGGGCTCAATTATTATAGTAGTTTTTATGTTGATGTTTACAATTATTTACCTGTATTTTGTATTGTGACACTGTGTAAAATTTTCAATCATGGCGGTTTCCACTGCACAAGCTCAAATGAACAAAAGGAATGCACAAGGTGAAATAACAAGATTCAAAGCATTCAGAAGCATGGCTTTGTGGTAACGCTCAGATCATCTATGCAAAAGATGGCGGGTTCGAATCCCGTTCGTGGGAATTATTTTTAAAATTCAGGGAAAATGATATGAAAATTCAATAGAAAACTTATTTAAAACTGATAATTAATAATTTAAAATAGTGACGTACTGAATAATTAAAATTAATAACGTATTAAATATTTAAAAAGAGTAAATAATTAAAAAATAACGGTAGATTAAGTAATTAAAGTAATATAATAAACATGATAGCATTCCAAAATACGTTGTTCAAAACGCCGTTACCATAAAATAAAAAAAAAAAATATTATGATTTCCAGAAAAATAAAAGTTTGAAAATATAGGATCGTTGCCACTGAATAGAAAGGAAGCTATACATGACGTCAGTATAACCTGCCTCTTCCGCTTGTGACGCGATCCAAGACTGCGGCCGCCACGCCATTTTCCTGTGACGTTACTTCCGCCTACCGAGGACCTGCGCTTACTACTAACATATACGTAGTTAGAAATGGGATTGTTAGTAGGGTAGGTGTTGCAAATATTCATCAAAATGTAGTATTTGCGTTATGAAAGCAGTTTAAGGGTACAAAAAAAAAAAAAAAAAAAAAAAAAAAAAAAAAAAAAAAAAAAAAAAAAGATCGATTTATTGAGTTTCTATCCTGTGCGTTTTAAGAGTACCAGGAATTAATCGTAATTAAAAAAAGACACCAACATATATGTATTTAAAAATGTGTTATTTTAATCGGGTTCTTGTTGCAAAAATTCACAAAATGTAGTTTTTGAGCTATATAAGCAGGTCAAAAATTCTAAAAAAAAAAAAAAAAAAAAAAAAAAAAAACCAATTAGTTTATTGAATTTTTATCCTGTGCGTTTCAGGAGCTTAGCATACATATCCTGGTAGTTTTCCTCCCTTGAATCCTGGCCAGGCCTGTATGTTCTTGTATAGGGCTGTTCCTGGGCATGAAGTGCACTTGGCATCTCTGTGACCGTGAATCTGACGACCTCTAGTAATGATGTTCTATAAAAAGGAAGAATAAAAGAAGGAAAGACATTAAAGATGATTAAAATATAAATTCTTTAAAGCTTTGTAATTAGCTTAATAATAAGGATCATCTCAGGTACAATATAAAAGCATGAAGTTTTTCATACATTGGTTCGAGGTAAGCATACATCTTTAACCTACACCAAATCACTAACCTTCATAAACTGTTTCAATCAAGCATATGTATTCGGATAGCATACCAGAGTAAAGAGTACGAATTGTTTCAAAAACTGACTCAATATTAAGTACACGTTCTCGGCAGCACATCAAAGCAGAATCTTTTCATGCATATGCAATTTTTAGGTTCTTTATGTATTTTTATATGATGTTAAAAGGAGCAATGCAAATTTTATGCGAAACCATATGCGAGAATTGTTTTGTAGAGGAGCTTCATTTAAATCATTTATATGGAAAAAGGGTTTTACAAATTCGGGTAGTTTTCTCGTGGTGCCGAATATAGTGTTGCATGCTACGAATTTCAACTCTAAATATCTAGAACAAATGAACAGGAAGGCTTAGAACTTTATTCAGTAAATAACATCACTTATGTAAGATAAACATCTATAAATAATCTTCCGATTAGAATAAATAGAAACAGTCATAAAGCAAAATTCTCCTTAATACGCGAAATATCAAAACTCAATAAAATACCTAAATTTGAATGAAACTGTGAATGAAATGTTGTGAGTGAACTATTATATATACAAGATTCTTAAAACAAATTGCTGACTGCAAGAAGATAAGCTATACTGAGCGTATACAAGCAACAAATTTATTCCATCTCTGAAGTAACATATCTTACTTTGCACTTACTAAAAATTACCGTAAACTGTAATAATGCTGTAATTGTTGAATAAAGGTTAAATTTAGAAAAATAACAAGTTTGACTATGGAAATAATGATTGAAGTACATGTAACCACTATTTCCATATCAAAACGAAAAGTGAAGTATAAAGTAAAAGTGAATTTTTTCAAAATTTTTATTTTTCTATAATGAGGAGTTTAAATTACTGAAAGTTGCATTTAATTTGAAACTGGAAGCGCTAATAGTAGAGACTAGTTTTGTATGTACATTGTAATTTAAACTATGAAATACTGGCGGCAGAAAGATTAGCCATTAGCTGAGATATTTTACCTTTTCCATTCCGCAATCAATAAGCTGTCTGGCAGCAGTGAGCATGGCTCTATTAGGCGTGACTTTTTCGAAGTTTCCCATGAAGGATATGCCGATGGACTTGGAGTTGTAATTGTAAGTGTGAGCTCCGACTCCGTTCCAGCCACGGCCTTCGTAAATTCGTCCGTCCCCTCCCACCAGAAAACTGTAGCCAATATCAGCCCATTCTGAAAACAAAAGTATTTTAATGAATTAATTCTTTCACGAAGACAAGCACGGTGGTTCCACGCATAACGAACTTTCATACAATTTCCACAAAGCGGTCACACATAATGAACTGGATATAAAGTTTGTCAAAAATTAAATACGAAGAGAATTATCCATTACTGTCTGAGTGAACGGCTCATAAACACGAAATATGATCATTTCATAAGCCAGGACAACTAACAGGAGAGCATACAAATAAACATACATCTCAGATACTATTGCATTTGAGGAATGCGAAGAAGCCTAGATGGAGTCCTTTGCTGGAGAAAAGACGAAAGCAAAGAGCCCTTGAGAAATGAGCTTATCAGGGACCATTTAAGAAATGGAAATTAGATTGACAGCATATTTCTTAAAGCCGAAATTTATTTAGTTAGATGCGGAAAGTTGTCCAGATTGTAGCCAAAGAAGGGCATCCTAACAAGATGAGCTAAAAGATTGATTTATGTATTCAATGATAATTCAATGCATCAATTAAAAAATAAAAGAGATTGACACCATTTCATATAATTGTTTGAAACCTCGACTTCCCATGAAATCAGTGCAGCTTCCTATGAATGACCGGGAAGATTCAAACTAAATTCAAATGAAAATTTACAAGAAAGATTTGTAAAATAAACCGTTATTTAAAATCAATAAAATCATTAATCAACTAAAAGCAGAAAAGTAGTTATGATACATTTTGATGGGAACAAGAGATTAAATAAATACCATAAAAATTACTCCATGATTTTACATCATATGCAATAAAATCGTAGGACGTCCTTGATAAATTTATAAAGGTAATGCCTTACACTTTTGACAAGGCAATTCGGTGATTCGGTTTTTATATTTAGCGCATGTTTTTCAGGAAAAGAAAAATACCCATTCAGAACTTAACTATTATCATTAAAACTTTTTCTGCTGAAATTGTAATTCTATTTGATAAAAAGAATTTCTAGAGATAATCTTATTCAGTCTCAGGTGCGTTAATGATAAAATTAGGATTTATTTCAAAAAAAGAGAAGTACCGAGTCAGGATCTTGCACTATCAACGAAATGAATATCTATCTCGATGCTAGTGGCTCTATTGGACGCTTAAGCAATTTAATCAGTGATTATTACGTTGCTTAGCGTATTCACTTCGCGACATTAGCTAACGGTTTAATTGAATAAGCTAAGTTTCTTAGCTAATATGCCAATGGAAACGAAGCGCTTTGTTATATCAGCGAGGAGTTAAGTTAGTATAGCTAACTTAATTGTTATAGTTATCTATCACACTTAGATAAAAAAAATTGGATGCGGACACATATGACTTCCTTGTACGGAATATTAAAAACTATACGCAGTTTTTGCTGCATTTCATTTAAACATATTTTCTCGAAATTCATTAGAGATATATTTCTTATTCAGTTAATTTAGTTCTCATTTCGCGGCAAGGCAAAAGTACATAAAACCTCAAAGTACTTTCATTAAAAATTAAAAAGTATAGAAAAACATAAAAACAAAATACAGTTAACCAATTAAAAAAGCAAATTTTACAATTAAAATTATAGTTTCTATTCAAAAGCAAGCAATTCGGCCAGCAGGCAAGAAGCCAGACTTTTCGGTGCACAAAACTAAAACTTTACTTTTGGTCCCACTGTACAAAAAGACACTGAAGGTGCAGAAACTGACTTAAACTATTCTGCTAAGTTTTAAATGTAAACAAATTTGCCTGCTATGGTAAAAAAATAGGCTTAGCCTTACTTAATCAACTTTTAAATTGTTGCTAATCCTATAACTATTGCATTTAGATTAGCTAAAGGCATAGAAACCTTAACCGGAAGATAAGAGCAACATAATTCAATAATTTTTAAAGCAAAAAAATTCACAATTTATCAACATAAGAATAAAAAATTAAGCTCAAGGGGCCGAGTAACAGAGTGGGTGTATATATACACTTTTGGTGCGGCCCATTGTAAACAAAAAAGGTAGGTGCACAACTACATGTTATAGCAGTCCTATACACAAAATTTCAACGTTCTGAGACCACTCGTTTTTGAGTTATGGGAGATATACACATATATACGTAACTAGAAAGCCCGGCGGTCATACGAAATGATCGCTGTTATAGATATTACAAATTGTAATTAAAATGATTTGTGCAAAGGCATCTGCTAATTCAAACTGAATTACCCAGGGCAGGCGGCGAGGACGCCCTTTTGTTTACTGCCCCACGGGGTTTACCCCTTCTACTCACTTAATTGCTTAAAGGGGAGTCCAGTGAAGGAGACCACTGGTAGTGCATTTCTTAAGAGTCACCGCTAGCTCAATAAATAAAGGTGATTTAAATAATAAAATGTTAATTCACATGCCAAATATCGTTTTTAAGGATTCGAAAAATAACTATGGATTTAATATGAAAAAAAAAACACTTTAAATGCAAATATTTACAAAAATTTAAAAGCAGTTATTCTTACCAAAACGATAGAGCTTATTTTTAAAACATAAAACTTAAACCGAGTTGTAGCTGGTATTACTCAAACAACCTCCCACCTTGCAATTTGTAGGATACCTATAAATTGCAACAAAAGTTATAAATCAAGTATATTGGGAATTTTAACACGTCGACCAGCTATAGTAACAAAATCTAGGACTTTGGGTGATGAATCATCATTTTCACTGGAATCTGAATCATTAGCTGCAGAGCGTAGAGGCATATTCGTAGAGGCACTTTCATCCCTTCGGGCATTTTGGGAAATGAATGGTAACTTTTCCGAACTGTTGATTTCTAAGGGATAAAGTCTTTGGAATGGTCTCAACTTCTCTCCATTAGCTGTTCTCACTCTGGCGACTCTTGAGTGCTCATCTGCTCAGAAAAGACTTCAATGACGATTCCTAAAGGCCAGTTGATACGCTTGCCATCAGTTTCTAAAAGAACGACCTCTCCAACTCTTAAAGGTTCTTCCCGGCTCTTACCTTTACGAATCAACATTGCTAAATACTCATTCCGAAATCTCATTCTTTAATCCTGCCTTAATTTTTGTACAAAACGCAATCTTATATTTAGGCTTTTACTGTCGATTTCTTCTAAATTAGTTGTTTCACTGCTAGCAATACTTTGTAAGAAACAAGCGGGAGTTAATGACTTCAGACCTTCAGAATTGTCTTCAATATACACTGGTTATCATAAATTAAGGAAAAATCACAAAAATAGCGATAATTCCCTCAAAAATAAGCCAAACCGTGTAAAATTTGAATATGTTGTCAAGTAAGAGTAGCTGAGTAAAACAGCAATATGCAAATTAGAGGCTCTGCCTTCGGAATACGTCATCTGCGAGGAGAATAAAAGTCCATGGTTGAGAGCAAGCCCACCTATTTCAATGTGATAAGGATATCAGAAATCTGAGATAGCCAATACGTAACAATGACCTCCAGACATCATTTGCCTGCAGATCTACGATGGAGAGCCATTGGGAGACTAGAGGCAATGTAAAGTCAAACAGAAGTGGCCAGATGACTAAATGTGAGTCCTTCTGTGGTTCATAGAATTTGGAGGCAATTTCAAATCACAGATTCGGCACCTAGGAGATTCAGCCAAGGACGGCCAACTGCTACGACGAGCGCCGATGACAGATATTTGACATTATGCGCACGCAGGAATAGAACCGCTACTCCAACTCTTCTTAGATCCTCCCTTGCTGCAATCACCGGAAAGTTGGTGTCGAAGTCAACTGTGCGCAGAAGGCTTCACGAAGGTGGTCTGTATGCGAGACGACCAGCCATTTGCGTGCCGCTCACGTCACGCCATAGGAGGGACCGTTTGCAGTAGGCACGACAACATGTCCACTGGACGCTTGATCAGTGGAGGGCTGTTCTCTTTACGGATGAGTCCAGGTTTAGTCTAGAAAGCGATAGTAGGCGTTATTTGATATGGAGAGAACCTGTAACTCGTTATTTATTATCCGTCCGTTAAAGAGATGCCTACGGAAGAGACAGTGTCTGTGTTTGGGGTGGCATCTCTTTGGGTGGATGCATAGACCTCCATGTCTTTCTAACGGAAACCATGAATGCTCCAGTTTATAGAGATGACATCCTTGATGCTTATGTGCGCCCATGTGCCGGGGCAATAGGTGATGCTTTCCTGTTACAGGACGATAACTCAAGACCACACAGGGCTCGCATCGTAGATGATTATCTTCAACGGGAAGCAATTATGCGCATGGAATGGCCAGCTCGATCTCCGGTCTTGAATCCTATCGAGCACGTTTGAGATGATTTAGAGAGACGTCTAGCTGCTCTCAGTCTGCCCCCTTAGACCCTTGTTGCGCTTGCAACAGCAAACTCTTCCTATGGAACTGATAGACCGCATAATTGAAACCATCACGCATCACTGTATGTGCTGTATTGCTCTTAGAGGCGACCATATTCCCTATAGAAGGTACCTTTTCTATAGCAAACTGACACCTTCGATTTGTTCATTTTATACATGTGCTAATTTCTATACTACCATAATTGTCTGGTAATTTATTTTTATGTTATTTGATACCTTATTATGTGTTGTATTTTATGGGTAAGTTTCATAAAATTCTACATGTAACTTTTTCAGTAATCGTGATTTTTTGATTTTTCCTATGATAACCAGTGTATAATTTAAGGTTCTAATAAGCCACTAAAGCACCACAGGTGATAAGTTGTTTTGTATTATTTTAAGTCTCACTAGATGCAAAGAACAAGTTTTACATGAATTTTTACATTTTTGTGTTTTATCTTGTGACCACGGTAAGGATTAATGAAAGGAAATAACTCACTTTAATATGCAGAGATAATTTTTAAGGGTAAGCAGTTAGTTAAAAATAATTAAATTCGGTAGTTACATAACCTTAGGCATTATGGATTTATATAGAAACTTTCTATAGCAAACTGACACCTTCGATTTGTTCATTTTATACATGTGCTAATTTCTATACTACCATAATTGTCTGGTAATTTATTTTTATGT